GGAGTAGCCTTGAAGACGAAAGATATTCCCGCCGCCCTCCACGCGGGGCAATTAGAAAGCATCTAATAGGAGTAATCGGGCATTATAAGCAAACTCCAGATTGTTACGAATTAAAAAGAAAGAAAAAGAAAAAAGGGGGAGAGAGGCGAGAGAAAGGGTGTGTCCCAACGTTGTCTTCAGCTGTTTGGAGCGAAGTTCAGGGCGCCGGTAGTCCAGACTCCTGGATCTTCCCGCCTCGCTGGGCGGGGCGAGGTGCAGGGTAAAGAGCACACAGACCTTGGAGTATGAACGCCGGGCTGTGCTATTTACGAGCTCTGAGACCTTGGGCGAGTCCTTTAACCTCTCTAGGACTCAGTTTCCTCTTATAAAGCGAGGAGGTTGGGCCAGATGACCATCTAAGGCCCCTGTCAGCTTTGGAGCTTCAATCGTCTGCAGAGATGATGTGATATGATCGGAAGAGCACCGAACCTCCGATTGTACTGAGTCAAGGAATTTGGGTTCTGGTCCAGGCTCTACCTAGCATTAGTTTACCCTTAAGTGGCACCCCCTATACCCCACAAGTTTTTTGTAAGGGCCAAAAGAGAGGATGTTGCTGAGAGTCCATAGCGGGCTGTGAAGCGCTGCACTGTAACATCACAATTCCGGTCCTCAGTTTCCTTATCTGTAAAGTGGGGGTGTTGCTAGGAAAGAAAAATAGAACCGGGAACTCGAAGCTTTCCCGGGGCTCTATATAAAGCGCTGGCGTTTCCGGGACGGCTGGCGGCATCTGGCCGCCCCAATGGCCCCAAGATACCGTAATCCCAAACAATACTCGGGGTCATTGTTTACAGCTATAAAACACATTCTGTCCCAAGCTCCATCCCTAAGGACCCGCTCAGCGAGGCGAGGCCGCTCAGATTCCTCGCACCTCTGCCGCTGCCCGCTGGGCAAAGTCCCCAACTCCGCAGGCCCGGGGAGGGGTGTGGGGCAGGCGGATGCGCGCACCACCGTGGGTGCTTGGTGGTAGTGTTTTGTTTTGTTTTTTATTTTTTTCATCCCTGCGTTCTGGCCTGCCTGGGTGTTTACGTGCCTCTCCCAGCAGGACTGAGTAAATGCAGTCCTTTGACGCAAAACGGATCAGCCCTCTCCCCAGCTGCAGCGGCAAAACCCAGAAAACTGGGGGTGGCGGTGGGGGCGGGGGTGTGCAGGAGAAGAAATCGTGACACTTTCCCACTTACCTCTCCGCCCTTCCCCATGCTGACGGCCGCAGCCCAGCATCCAAGACCCCGGGACGGAGAAAACAGGCCACAAGGGTTCCCAGCCGCCCCAGCGAGGTCTTGTGGGGTTGCTAGGGGAGTCGCGGCCGGGGCGCCCAGGGTCCTCCCCTGTGCAGCCGCGTGTCAGAGCAGCGCGAACAGACGCACGTTTGGTTTTCCCTTGAGCGGCTGCCCTGCCCTCCCCCATCCCGCGCTCGAAAACCTGGGTGCCTCTGGGTCTCTCCCACACAGTCCTTCCAGTAATGCGGGGGAAAGGAGGAGGGGGAAGGGGAGCCGGAGCTTCCTCTGCGGCCTCAGCCGTCCCGGGCGCGCCCAGGCCTGGACAGGCGCCGCCAGGAGCGCGCCGGCGGACGAGCGCACCCTCGCGCCTTCGCCCGCCCCCGCCCTGCGCGCTCCCCTGGCCCTTTCCTTTCTTGTGGGTTCCCGTAAAACCCAGCAGCCCCGAGACGTCTGCAGAGCATCACGGAATCTGTGCTGATGCAAGTCGCCAGCCTCCCCTTGGTGCGCCCCGGCCTGCCTCAGAGCGCTTTGATCCTGGCCTTCACCTGCGCCAGAGCTAGTGCTGGCTCCCTCTGCCTGCCGGAAGGCCTGTGTTCCGCAGCCTGCCCTCGCCTCAGTCCTAGGAGCGACAGACCCACAAAGCTACGCCGTCTCGCTGCCGCAGGACTGCCTGCGTGGTCCAACCGGTGCCTCTGCTGGGCCACTTCAGTCAGACCGAGAATTCAGCTTCCAAGCCCAGCTCCCTGCTCCTCCCCCCGAGCAGGATCACCCAGTGAGAAAGGGGCTCTCTTTGGAAGTCCTCTGGCTCCCAGGAATAACAGAAGCTAAAAATAGAGGCTAACAGTTATTGAGCCTTTACGAAGTCAGGCATCTTGCTGAATACTTTACAGGGCTTGTCTCATCTAATCCTCACAACAGTGTATGAGGTGGGCATCATTCCTTCGTTGCAGGTTAAGAAAGTGAAATTAATTGTCCAAGAGAACTGGTTAGTGGGTTAGTGACCCATTTGGGAGTGCAGCTGGCCTGTCTGACTCCAAGCTCTTCTTACCCAGGACACTGCATTGCCTGCCTCCTACTGGAATGTCTTTGCTGGTCTCCTGAAAGCATGGGCTTCATCTGGTTTGTGGCTTTGTCACAATTTGTGCTCATTAATTCTCTGCTGAATAAATAAACATCCCCAGCACCATCACCCAGCTGAAGGAGGAGGTGATGTCAAGCTAGGAAAGGAGGGAAGGTGGGGTGAGGAGAGAAGAGAGGCTTGGGCTGTCTTCTCACTGCCTTTCTCAGTCTCTAGGACCGCCCTGCCCTGCCTTTGCCAGTTTTGGCATTTGTCCATCCAGCCAATGTTTGGTTCCTGAGAGTGACACCAAGAGATGACTTGACTCCCAGAGTAGCTTCTGTGTGCCAGACCGTTCATGAAGCCCTTTCACGTACATGGTCTCACTTATCCTTACACACAACATCCGTACAAAGGATGTGGACAGCAGTCAAGGCACTAACTCGGGATTGCCAAAGAAGAGGCTGAGGAACAGGGTGGCGAAGCAACCTACCCAAGTTTTCCCAGCCCTGAACTCGTACCGAGCTCACCTGACTTTAAACTCACTGCTCTGCCCATTACCCATGCCTCCAACCTTGAAAGGTTAGATGCAAACTCTCTTTCTTAATGATTAACTGCCTTCTATCCATCATGCCTGAACGGATCTGCCATCATTTCTCTATAGCAAGCCATACATTTTGTTGATGTTTTCACATTTCTGAAATCCTGATGCATGTTACTATCAATGACTATTTACTATGCAGGTGTTTCTGTTTGTCCAGAAGACAGACTTCACCCCAGATGGTTCAGAGGAAGAGGCTTGAATGGAGAAACTCCTTCTAGACGTGTGGGCAGATTTAAGGGAACAATAAGAGCTGTTAAGGCACCGGAGTCTATCAACAGCTGGAAACTATGACCACCCCTAGATCTGAAAGGGAAAGGGGAGGAAACAGTGTTATCCAAGCCTAGTGAGTGTTGGGAACATGCAAAAGGGGCTGCTGCCAGAGGTACTGTGCTGACGCAGGGAGGGGGCTGAGAAGAAATGCCCCAACTCTCTCTCCTACTTCCTCCCCTATCTCCTGCCAAAGGGCAGGGGTCGAATCAATGCAGTCCCTATAGGGCACAGAGAAGGGCAAAGAAGGATGGAGAGTAGGTTGGGGTTGTAGTGGGGGATATGCCTCAGCAAACTGGCAATAACCAGCATAGCTGCCATTGAACTCATAATATTCTTACCACTGATGGCATTGCAGAGTGGGGAAGGCATGGTAAATAAGTGGGCCTCACACTTCTCTGGGGGTGGGGGTGAG